TACTTGACTTTTATGTGCGCACATTTTTCTGGAGCTTTGTTAATTTGTTGTGAATGTTCTTTAATTCACTTACTGTGTTATATTAGAACGAAATCATAAACTTCATTATCATTACATTTCAGTACTATTCTGTTTGTAGATACACTTTTTGTTGCATGATTTATATATTCTTTCTTATGTATAGAACCTAATCTAAAAACCTAATATGTAGAAAGTCATGCTAATGTTACTGCATGGGCGAGAACAATATTTTTTGAATATAAATTATAATTTAACGTTAAATTTTTCAGACGGAAGTGACTATTATATTACTATTATACACTATTATTACTATTATTACTATCATTATTATTACTATTATACACACTGTGACAATTATACAAAAATTCATTTTTATATTATTTTAATTAATTTTAATTAATTTCGAGTGTTGTCAAATCTCAAACGTTAATACAAACCTTTTTGAATGAATGGATTCATAAACCTTTCAATTTTCAAAGAGTACAATAACAATCATAAGCCATATTTGTTTTATTTTTGCATAACATCTTTTAAGGATATGCTAAATCCCATATATAATAATAGTTATAATAGTTATAATAAAACATCATTTTTTTTCTTCTTTTACTCTTACTGACGGGTTAAAACCTGACGGACTATTTCTATATTAACCGCTTTAAATAGTAGTTTTATTCCAGCTAGGTGTAGACAAAACTTTTGTAGCTTCATTTTAAACAACAATATCAAATATTATATATACATCTATATTAAATATACATATTATATTATATATATATATATATTTATTTATATATAATTAATATATATTTATCTGTAATATATTATATATATATATATTTATTTATTATCCATCGCCTATATTTACTTCTCATATAATGTATGGACCAATTTTCAAATAACTCGATTATTCTCTGTAAACAATTTTTACTATGCGTAAACTGAAAAAAATAATAAAAACTATATATATAACTATATATATAAAATAATAATAAACATATTATATAAAACATATCCCAATAACGAAATTTTGCTGTAGACACATTGAGATTTTTTAAATTTATTCATATATTTCCACCTCTATACCGAGGTTTTTTGCAAGCACCAACGACTTCGTTATAGAGAGGTTTGACTGTATATAAATAGTATATATATATTAGTATTTTATATGAAAAAATATTTATATAACAAATCTTTTGTGTTTTCATAAATTTATATTTAATTTACATAAATTAATTACAATAATTATTTTTTTATTTTATTAAAATTTTCTTTATTATTTGACCTGAAAAATGATCTTGATTTGCAACGCTTCTCTAAAATAAGCGCGAGCTTGGAGAATAAATTTAATAAATAAACTCGATCTGATATTCACCAAAAATTGATGACTACATCAAAATAACCAAATCTTTTCTAATTTATTAGTTTAGATGCCCAAAAAAATAAAGGTGGCGTGAAATCACTTGTTTTATTGTTAATTTTGTTTTTTGTTTTTTGTTGTACAAGATTTAAGATAGATAATAATTTCAAGCACAAAAAAAAACATTATAAAATATTTATTATTAAAGTTATACGTTTCTATACTTCAATGAATCTTTTAGTTGAACGTAAGATTCTATAATTACCAAATATTTAAAAATTTACTCATTGAGATAATTAAGTATTTTTTGATTGCGCCAGTAGTTTGAAGAAGTAGTTTAACTTGTTTTTGTTGTATCAAAAAAATTTAAAGAAAATTTGAAATAATGACGTCACCTAAATGAAATAAAATAAGATATTTTAGTTGTTTAATGAAATATTTATTTTATTTAAGTTCATAGTTATGAGAAGATTAAAGAATTAAGATAATTAGTTTTTTAAAAGTTTCATATCTTATTCTTTTAGTATTTAAGCAATTTAAATAGAGCCTGTCTGTCCATATAACGATATTTGCTTTATATCGTCTACCACAAAAATTATACTCTACGTTATAAATACTCTTAATATGATGAGAGAAGTGAAATTTTGTTAATATCTTTCAAAAATGCTTCTTACTATATATTAGAATTATTTTCATTAATCATTATTTTTTCTGATAGACCTAGACCTCATCTAAATTTGCTACTTATTCATTTAACAGACATTAAAAATATTTTTATTAGTAGATCTGTTGCAAATTATAAATTTTTAATGTTGTCAGTACAAAGCTTACTATTTTTTCCATCATTGTCCCTTAAGTTATCTTCTTAATTTTCCTTCTTTTTCTTCTTCTTCTTCTTCTTCTAAATGTCATGTCCACTTTTTCAAGATTGCTTTTTAATGAAGCTGTGGACAAAACAAAAATATCAATCATGTTAGACAACAAGGAAGTATCTATCTTTGAGGCAGCTCTTCAGTAGTAAATAAAAATCTGCAAACAATATTCTTGATAGTTTGTAAAGTGGCCCTTAGACATCAACGCGCGTTGACAAACACACGAAGTCTTCTCTCTCCATTACACATTAAATTTACCAACAATTTTTTAAACACGCCTCCAGCAAACAATGCAAAATTTGTTCACTCATCAGTATTAAAGCAATCGCTGAAGTGTCGACAACG